ACCGCCAACTAGGGAGCGAGTTGTGGTACATTTGAGTGTGTACGCTTTAGCGTCTTATGTGTGTGTATGTGTGCGTATGTGTATGTGAGTAGCATGTCAGTGATGTAGAGTGTACGGCGATATGTATTTGCACGACAATTGTCATGTGATTTCATCTTTTACTAAAAATAGCTGTCGGCCTAGGGTTTCACTTCTGAGAGTTTTAGGGTCGACGACAGCTCGAAGAACATCAGTTCTTTGAGTCGAGACTGTTAGCGTTGGGAGCTGTGATGTGTTCGTAAGCGTCGACCTAGAGTCTCTTTGGAGTGAGTTGGGCTCGACTTATGTTTGTGACAGTTTTAGTGCTAGTGGAGTAATTAAGACTGACGCGTTTTCTAGTTAGAAAAACCGCGTTCATTTCAGGTGTGATACATTTGAGTGTGTACGCTCTTGCGTCTTATATGTGTGTATGTGTGCGTATGTGTATGTGAGTAGCATGTCAGCGATTTAGAGTGTATGGCGATATGTATTCGCACCACATTGGCAATATGTCTTCAAAGATTCAAAAACCAAAAGTTGATTTGATAAGATTGCATATCGTCCACTAAATAAAATCATCATATCATACGCGGGAGCAAAAAAAAATCTTTGAAGCACTTCAATAACCTTCGTTCAATAGAAGTCAAAGTTACAATATTACTGTAGTGCTCGGACATGTTTGATAAAGATTTAAAGTACTCCGTGAGATTGTAGGAGGAATCAATCATTGTAAACATAGTATTTCAACTATTCTCCACATCAAGTTCAGTAATTTCCTTAGTCTCGTGTTTTGGCATCCCTAGAAGAATTTGGATTTTCTTGAAATCAACTCGCATTCGAGATGATAAGCGGATCGTCTTCAACACTGTGCGAAGTTTTTCCACACAGGATTTGAAAATTGTTTCATTGTTAATCACAACACGATGCATGATATGACACATATAGCAAAAGTGCCATCTATAATCTAGATGAACATCAAATTTATTTTCAATTCATCTCTTAGATTATGTAAAGCAGGAATAATTTCACTAGCATTGTCAGTTGTTGCAGCTATATTCTTTGTGTGCACATTTGCTAATACTAAAGTTTCCAAAATAAGCGCCATTGTGTATCACTGATCATGAGGTGATGAAAAATATTTAAAGTCAAGAATGCAGTCACGTAACGTCCAGATATCATCAATCTAATGAAGCTCAATTTCAAAATAACTTCGCAAAGTTCTAGTGCAACATTGATCACAAGTAATTGCAACTCTTCCTCGAATAACTTCTACAATATCATAAAATTGTTTGGTTGCAGAAATGATCTCGTATGATATGGCACGAGTAAGACGTCAGCGCGAACAACCATACCAAAACCAAATTTAGAATGTTTGTCATTTGTCTGAAGGAAGCTGACTCAATTGAAGAAAAACTTTGCTTCGTGTCAATCAACCAATTCATCACACTCGTCATGATTTTTGCCTTCGCTGATTGTCCATAGGATTTCCAGCATATAGTGAAGTTTTTGGGGTGGGCTGCGGCTTTAGCAACCCACCTCTACTAAGGCTGAGCTTAGAAGAAGTAACAATGACGGTGGCAAAAGCCAAAATGAAATATTATTTAATCTAGGGAATGCCATATCCGGACAATATCTTGAGTACCTATGATGGTGACAACATCTGCTAGCATGTTATGGTCGACCAGGGGTCTCCCACCTGGCCGCCAACTCAGAACCGTACGTGACAGTTTCCCGTCCTACGGCTCCTTGCATCCCATCAAGCCAGTTTCCTGAGAAGTGCGCTTTTCCGTCGTATTTTGGTCATGCCAGTGCCCCGCCCTACGGGCTTCATTAAATAGTTTTTTCTCTTTTTCTTACTAACCTTTACAAAGGTTTTGTACGCCCACAATGTGAGGCTCCCACAGGTACTGACGGATACGGAAGCCATCAAAATCTTTTTTTGGCCGTGGCAGATGTGCGTTTTACTTTACTTAAGCTTCAGCCCCATCGGCTGAAGTAGTCATTCGATCTTCACACGGGCTTGTTGGACTATTCCCAGATTTGAGTGGAGGACCACGAAATAAGTAAGCTGCAGAAACAAACGAAAATAGATACTAGACCGACGCTTGAGCAAATTGGGGCACAAGTTATACTTTACAAGGTTAGTGCTTCTAGAGTAAATGCCTTGTCATCCAAAACATTATGCACTTTCAAACATGAACTGGATTTTAAAAAGGTGATTTGGGAAGGATTACTTGACAATGCGATTTCAAGTGATTTGCAAGTGATGCGATGATTGATACTCAAATGTAGAATAAAATTTGAAGTAGCCAAAGTGATTGAATAACTTCTCGAAGAGGATTTGCTCGCAATTCAAGCAAGTCTATTGGATCCTGATATAGATAGAAAGTACGGACAAATTCAAGATGTGTGCTTTTTTTTTTTGGGTGACGACCACTAGAAGACACAGCCAGTGAAGATAAGAGTAGAATAGCAAGTTCATCATTCTTGAAGTCTTTGTCCTGGTCTATAACACCACAAAATCTTACTATAGAGTGTGATTTGCTTGTGTTTGTAAGTGCATGTCTAGTTCACACTCTCTACCTATCCGCTATTTTTGCCATCAAATTTCTTGTGTGTAAGGAACATATGTGTAATCTTGCCATAAAAAAATAATACATAAGCACAAAAACATGGAGAGAATCACTCATTTGCAAAGAGAGTTGAAACTAAAAGACGTGTATGGATTTTCAAATTATGTGGCCAGCCCTTTAGCCAACGGCTAGCCGGCTAGCCAAAATTTAGCCGGCTACATGCCCATATTTACGTACATGTGCTTGCTTGAGAACAAGCACCCACCAGAAGAGACAAATTTATGAGTCCGGACATTTTTTTACGAATCTTCGATGAAGCAAACCAACAAAGTCAACCTTCCCACAAAGTTCATCAAAGAAATGATTGTGCGTAGTTTTTTTCCATTGCAATATACTCTTTCTCGCTTGTTCTAACCGTGGATGAATCACATTATCTTCGTATCTCGTGATTACTATCTGACTAACATTGGCTGTGTCTTGTGTTTTGTCTATTTGTCCAACTATCAACCGGTTGTTGCCATTTTGCGCGTTATCTTCGTATCTTATGATTACTGTCTGACTAGCACTACCTGGGTCTTGTGTTTTGTCTATTTGTCTAACAGTCAACCAGTTGTTGCTATTTTGCGTGTTCAGGACTAACAACTTACTACTAATAGTATAATGTTTATTTGATAAAATAAACAAGCATTAAATTTTTTAAATGAGATGAATCATATAAAACTTGTTTCAATATTTCAAGTTAATTGTTTTCTGCTGATGATTTTTTTTGTTGATAATATAAAAATACATTCAATAAACATTTAGATGAGATAAGTAATATGAATATTTTCTAAAATTATAGAATAAAGTTTGTCGATGGCATCATTATGTCAACATTCTATGATTTAATATTCATTTCAAAGAAGAAATAAATTTAAAATTTTTATTTTAATATCAACTAAATTTCAATTTTTTGATGCCATTTTGATAAAAAATTATTTTAGTTTCATAATGAAACATTCTATATCAATATTATTTTGAAAAAATTATTGTACTATGATTTTTTTATATGATTGATTTTTCATTATTAAATGTGTATCAAATTATAAATAAAAAAATTTATTCTATCAAATGATGTGGGTATAAATAATTTATAAGCACATTTATATATGATTGTAAAATTCTAAATAAGAAAATTCAAAATGTCAAAAAATCATTTATGAAATTATAAAAGAAATTCACATGAATTGATATTATGTTCTGATGATTTTATTGTTGGTTATTAGTTTGAGTTAAACAACTTGAAACTTTTCTATTATGTAAGACATATTTTTTATTGCAATAATGGTTAAAATGTAGATAATGATTGACTCAATTTTTTTCGTTGTGGATTTTACTTTTGTAAACTTTGATAACATCATATCATTTTTTTTGATTTTCATATCATAATAAAATTTGAAATTAACTTTGCAATTTTAAGTGAAATTAAACATATATTGTATGTATAGTGCTTCATTAAATTTTGCTCTAGTAAAGATACTTACACATGGATTTTGTTAATCATATGCATTATTATATTGTTCTTTCACATTGGTGTGAATGTGATGCTTGCTTTTGCATAAAATATTTTTTTTGGTTTGTAGTTATTGTTTAAATGATTTGCAATACATTTTAAATTGAATGAATCTATCTTTGTAAAATACCAAGTTATTATTGAAAACTCTAGAGATAGTTTTGGTGTGAATGATTATTCATCATCATGTATAAACAACAAAGTGATATATAATAGCGAAGAACTTAAATTATATTTCTATGAATATTAGCTACTTCTTTGTTAATTTAAAACTAAAATTAATGAAAGATTTTACTAGAGTTATATATGAACCATGATTGCACAAAATACAATCAGAAAATCACAAAATCATAATCACAAAAGCACAAAATCATACTTCAAAAGAGGATAAATTTGTTGAATTGCTTAAAAAAGTGATACTAGAAGATAGTGCAATCCATAATACAACAATCATATTGATTGATGTTATACAGATTTAAGATGCTACCATACAGAGCATATACAAGTTTTGAATACATTCAATTTAACAAGAAATATATTTCATTGTGATGGAAATGGAGTAAAACTTCATACTAGCCATTTCATTTCATATATCTGAATTTGATGGCTGTTACCATCCTTTTGCTATGAAACTGGGTTTCCTTCTTTGATGAAGACAGAATAAGAGAACACACAACAATGTAATAAAGATAACAATTTTGTTTTAGCTATTCTCGCTATCTATAACATTGTTTGCTGATTTCTTGGTACAATGCAAATGGCATGCCGCTTTGAAATCAAAATACATCGAGCAAGAATGAAAACAGTAGTACTTTGACACGTCTGACATGCAATCTTCAGGTAATGAAGGTGACAAGGATTGTGACAAACGTATAGCTGTACACGCTCCAACACTCTTATTTAAGTACATGTACTCTTCCAAGCTTATTTGATCACATACCGAACGCGGTCAAGACCAGATGAAGCACGATTCCCCAGCAGAGATTCGTATGCTCAATCTCGCGAACTCGTTAGCTATGACAATTCTTCTATAAATGTAATCTAAAATCATTGTAGAAATTTGTAACAGGAAACCGTTTCTTTTGCAACTACTGTTGTTTGTCGAACAACCTTCAGACAACTGAACTTCTCGGTCGGCAGACGTGTCGGCAGTTCAAGAACGCTAAATCAGTGAGCGAAATACTTAAGATTCATAGCTTGACTATGGTCAACTTGGCCAGTATATTCTCATTCTGTGGAGGTCATAATCATCACAAATCTAATAGAAAGAATGGTGCTAGGAATAGAAGCACCCTTGTGTGCATGTAGTTTACAGTCTCTATATCGTAACGACAAGCTATCCTCAAGGAGTTGGACCAGGGCGCCAGTTCTCTCGCTTTCCCAAACACAATACAATGGTCGAACCAAGTCTGTCCGGAATGCAATATTTATGCTTCCCGGCAACGCACTGGGAAGGATTTTGCGCTGCTGCCGGACCTTCAGAGATGCATGATTCCACAACCTTGAGTCGTGTTCGGAGGCTCGGAGCGACGGGGCACGGTGTCTGTTTTGGGCTGCAGGCTGCAGCGAAATTCATCTGTCGGTGGTACTCATCGAACATGTACTGGTGTTTGTGTATTCTTTCTACCCAAAATATTTTATCTGGTTTGAATTTTATAGGCTCATCACTATATTACTTGTTTGAGTTTGGGCTTGTTACAAAATTTCTACAAAACCATGTGCATCGTCGAACTCACCCAGCGGCTACTAGTTAGGCACTGGATTCGAGGAGCGGGGGAATGGATACTCACTAGTGCAAATGCATGTCATGTCTGATCGTATTATGATGTAAGAGGCTATGGATGACGAAGGTCAAGTGAAAGGATGATGGACGTGCCTCGGACCGATACCAGTCACAGATTTGGCTCCCTCCATGCTCGGCGATCCCAGGTCGTCCCTGGCTTCCTTGACTCTTGTATTGTCAGGTCACTTCACTCCACAGGGTGGAATTCTATCGCAGCACCAGAATTTCTTTACAGGACAGCAATTTGGCTCGTCTTGCCCGTCAATGGTGCCACAATTTCGGTCCACTGCACTGATGCTCGACTCCAGCAGCGTGGACGTTCTCTTGCCTGCCTTGCCTTTTTTGAGACCTCACTGTATTTTGAAAGCTCAGCAACACGTCCGCGGAGCTCCACCATCGTTTTATGGATTCGATTCGAGCGCTCTGAAAAAATAAGTGTCTTGGCAGACATGCTTTCAGCAAATTGAGGCCTCATGGTAAATGATACATGCTTTCTGCATTAGCGCCTTTCGATTCCAAGTCGTCCTGTGCTTGTGCGAAGTGTGTCCGCTTCTGCGCATTAGCTATGTCCTTCCTGGTAATCATGCCAATCACTCTGCACACCAACCCCCAGTTGCACCGGTCATGAATGGTCTGAAATAAACTTCCGCACTCTGCAGCTCACTCCAATCAAGAAGACTAGCATGCTCGGATCCTAATCATGTGGGCGGAATGCTGCATGGACCTGTCGGACGAGCCAACTCTGGGATCCTAAGCTGTCACATAGCATGAGAAAGTGCAGGTTCTCACCTATTATACGCATCGGTGACACACAGATGTCTCAGTCCCAGAGTACGGAAGATGACGAACACACGCTGTGCGGAACACTCTGCACGGACCTGCACAGTCAGAGTTAATTGTTGTCAGATCATGAACTAAGCATAGACGGGAACCAATCGTCACATCCTCCCTCTGTCAGATTCAGGCCGGATCGAGGTTTTTGCTGCTTGGAACTTACTGTCAGAGGAGCTCTGTTCATGAAGGGTCTCAAGTCCAAAGCCCTTTCTTCCTTGCGTGCATTTGTGGCTTCAGGGCTACGTTGACCATTTTCTTGTGGCACAGACTCTCCATTCTGAACTTGAACTTGTGTGCTCTCAAGGCTTGTTGTTTCGGGTTCAGTGATGTCCAGCATCTCCAATTCTTCCGCTCTTGATGTGAGATACCTCCGATGTGGGTTGTGGCAATGATGGTAAACACGCATGGCATGTTCTATTTTCCAAATATCGTTGGTGATTATACAATTTTCCGGCCCTGGAATGATGGGGATTGTATCATCAGGTGATTCCACCGTAATCCACGCCCTTTGTTCCAGGAGAAGAAGTAATTGATGCCGCAGAACGAGCCCAACGAATGTTCCCTGAGTTCTTGGTCCATCCGCTTGAGGTGAAGATGTCGAATATCTCAGCACAGGGAATCCATTATGCCTCGTCCTCTTCAAGACTTCCACAACGGTTTTCACAGTAACAATCTGCATCATAAAGTACTGCTTTTCAGATTGAATCGTCATTGACAGTAACGCAACCATCCTTCGCCTCCAAAGCTGGCACGACTCGTCAGTGTCAGAGCACGTATACACTTCCGACTCGTATTTTCATGGCATGAGCAATGTCTGACAGAGTACACCCGTCGTACAACAGACACCAATCATCACAAAGTAGGTCGTACCATCGTAGCACTTTAAAACTCAGAACATTACCTCAGGGAAGCACTCAACGTTTTCAGACATAATGTCTGCCGCAGTAATCGGGATCATAGCGTGTGTTGGCTCGTTGTGCAGGAAGGTGATGCTTCCTGTAATTTAGCTCTCAGTATGTCAAAATCCAAGAAAGGTTTGAAATCTTATACCGTGAGAATTATCTATGATAGTCACAGCTGTATTCTTTCGATCCACATTCCATTGAAATAAGACTTACTTGCAATCCCTCCACTGAATCAGAGAAAAATGTCTAAGCGAAGGCGCTAGAAAGTTTCAACCTGATCGTTGAAAACGTACCAATATTTCCCAAATCAATTTCGTAAGCAGATTCGTGGTGAAGGTGATGTGCTACCCAGTTTGAGATGACAACAGCGAGTATGAGAGGTAGTATAAAGTCTACACCGCCAGTGCCTTCCACTACGATAACAATCTGGATATCATATGCCAAACGATCAGATCGATGAATACAAAACCGAAAAACCGAACCATGCTTACGCAGTTTCAGCCTGAACAAACTGGATTTCGTTGACAGTTTAGACGACAACAGAGAAGCTGGCAACCCACCACTGAAATTGAAGTTCGAAACATTGAGCCTAACATCGCAGTCGCCCCAATAAGCGCGTGAAGTCCTGGTTGGACATCGACACTGAAATATGGCAGTAGGAGGTGAGAAAACGTTCTACACTAAAGCTCATGAAACTATTGTACAGCTCACATAGTCTACTAAGATAACAACTTATAAAGCTTTTTTAAAGCTTCTACAAGGCATCGCATCATCTGCAGAAGGATGGGATAAAGTCATCGTACTTAGGGAACAGTATCTTGAAGAACATGCCCAGTAGAGCTCCACACGATGACCCAACCTGTACAAAAGAATTCGGGACTTTGCACGTCAACGGAAAGAGTTCGAGATACCATATGCTGCGTTCAGAAGAGCTACTCAATGTTCAGAGGTAAAACAAAGTCATGTGAGGAGCATGCAGGGCGAAAAATTTCTCTTGCAAACAAGGAGAGAGACTTACCACCATGCAAGGAAGGAAGATTCCTCCTGGTGTAGCGATACCGTATGCCAGAGAGAATATAATGATCCAGGATACGCAGTGGATTCCCAGAGTCATCTTAGCAAAAGCTGGAACCGCATCCTTTCCCAACCTAAAAAGTTTCTGGATGCTCTGTTTTGAACATGGACAGAGATCACCGTTAAAGACGAAATTGGCTGAGTTCTACATTCTATTTGCCTTATCAAAGTAATCTTGCAGAACCAGCAGGATTATAACGAGGTCTAATTTCCGAAACTGGAGATTGATTTGGCCGCTAGGAAGGTATCTCATAGTCAGGCATAGGCACCAGCAAAGTAGCAAGCAGTGAGTGGCTCACCTGACGGGGAACGGCTAGATACAAGGATGCAAGATCATTGTAATACGCTCTACCATCGACTGGATTTGGGCATGTGTACTGAAACCAAAATTCTTCTTCGTCTGTCCTGTAATGATTGTCCACACAGAAGCATGCGTCAGACTGGATGAAGGAATGATTGATATTCGAGTCCGTGGGAGTGAAAGGGGTCATGGGAATGAGAGAAAAGAAGTAAATTGCAATATCGTCATGAAATCAACAGCAAAATCAGCGGGTCTGCAACAAAATGTGCAACATGCTTCTTGGATTTAGGAGGTCGGCGTGGTAAACTACTTACCCTTCCGGAACAAAATGGCAAGTCCCACCCAAGTGAGCCAAAACAAACATCATCACAATGATGACGAAGGTCACCAGAATAGCTTCGGCAAGTCTAAAACATGACAGAAACAGCCGCAGTTTCTGTTAGCATCATCTCTGCGACTTCTTGTCACTTTGAATAAGTTTTCGATTTTAACTTCAATAAGTTTGGGTGATTTAGGATACAATCATTCTCTCTACGAAGTTGCTCACTCCTCTGAGAAGGCCTATATATTCTGATCTTGTGCTTACCTTGCAAGTTTTTTATCCGATGGCGGCCTGATTCGTGCCAGCCACGCGTGAAGAGCATTTACAAGGGATCCCAAGGCACCTGCCGCGGCACTCGTGATGACGAATAGAGGCAGATCTCCAAGTACAAACTCGGGCTGTCAGAAGAGAAATTTGTCAGCTTTGTGACGAATTCAAATTTGGCATTCGAACTTACTTTAAAACTCTGATGAGCATGAAGGCTTCATTTCTTGTTTCGTTTCATTAGCTCAGACCAAATATGTTACCTGAAGATTATGGAATGACATGGTTCCAGGTAGAGCGAAAGAGAACTCTCTGTTGAAAAACAAAAACTTGTCAGTACAGTTCTATCGCTTTCTTCACAAGTCCGCACCATTCCACAATCGTCCTGATAATTCAGCCTCACGTCCTACAAGTTGAAGCTCTATGGATGGCCTGGATGGTGTCGATCCTTTGGAAAAATTGAGGTGCTGGAGGTAAAGGGAAGAGGAGCTCACTTCTCGTGCAGCCACGACAGCACTAAGGTTGCAACGGACGTACAAAGTAAAGACCGCCACATCACCTGAATAAACAACATACATCTTAGCTTCAGCGCAGTGAGTTTCGAACATCTCAGAATTTGCAAAGTCTCGGATACGAGGAACTCAATGTTGGTAATCGAGTTGCAAGAACACTTGATATGGTTCAGAGGATTTTGTAATAAACAAATTGGCACCTTTTTCGACCAAAAACTCGATGCTTCCTCCAGAGCGAAAAGAACACCACCGATTGGAGACCCGAAAGCGGCAGCCAACCTGACGGTTCAAAACACGACTAATAAATGAGATTTTGTGTTTGCCACAAGCAAGCATCATAATGTTGCAAGCGGACAAGATGGTGAAGCTGTACCGATCTCAGAAACTTACCCTGCAGCCGCACCAGCTGATATAAATTCTCGTCGATCATAGTCATTGTGAAAGTCCTGCCATAAGAGCAACACAGTAAACCTCAGGAAAATGTCTGTAACCTGGTTTTGTGGACTGAAGACAGGGATTCCAGAGGGACGATTCAAAGGACACAGAAAGGGAGCGATAATGGCTCTCATGAAGTTAAAAGTTCAGAAACTTACGAACACGAAGAACTTAGGCTTCAACTTTCCGAAGAAACTCCCTGATTGTTGATGAGTACCATTCTTTCTCCTACGAGGCACGTAGCCTTGCATCCAGGTTAAAGACGATGCAATGGCTCCACCAATATGTACCATAGGACCCTCTTGACCAATCTGGATAATTCAAGAAAAGTCACTTTTGGTCAGCCAAGAGCGAGGAAGTCACAAGTGAAAGAATCCACCAGATTTTGACCGAACACCCCAAAGAGAAATTCTGTTAAAATTTGGACGACATCAGTCAGTCTTGAATGAAGTCTTCCATGCGTTTAAACTGATGCAAGGCTTACCGGCAGTCCGGATGAAACCGTGCACAGGGTTCCAATAACCTGCAGAGAAGGAGAGAGGAAAAACGTAAGTTTCCACGAATGCGGCCCCTATCTTGTTGGTCAGAATGTCGCTGTAAGAACCTCTGCAAAAAAAATTATTCTACGAAAGAAACATATCCATGTACCTTGGCAAATAGTGTATTGAGTCGAAAGAAATCCGGCACATCGTTACCATTTAAATATGCCATTACAAGGGTCACCTGTTTGATGACACAGAGGAAGCGTTCAGGTCATAGCAATCATGGATACTTTATGTCGAGCAGTGAGATTATACATTTCAAACTGCAGCATGTTTTCTTCATCAGGTAGCTATTAGGAGGTGTCCTTCACCGTTGGGAAGGGTTGTTGAAACTGAGGTCAGACAGCAATAGAATTGGTACACGAGAGAATTCGTCAAAAGACACACAACACTTTCACTCACCCCGCCTCCCGCAGCTGCTGGAGTCCAAAAGATTACTAGACAACTTGCGAAAGTCACAACGGTGATACCAAACAAACAATATCCAGCAAAAGCCGTCCACAGCCCGTAACCATTATTCAGTGCCATCATAATCCCTCTTTTCTGCATCCAATATTTGCAACAAGAAGCGTTAATGATCAAGAAGATGCATCGACAATCTCTCGTGGCACCGGGCCCTCAAATTGCTTCAACTGTTACTGGTATGATCTGAGTCAAACCTTAGCAGTTGTCACCAGCTCCTGGTGGGACGCAATGACGTATGCAACTGTACCTGAGACCACATAGAACAATAACAGGAGCTGGATCAAGAGAGAGAGAAGACTCATAGATATGAATGTGATCAATTAAAGAAAGGTCGATACTCTCAAAGACTACTAGTCAAACTCTCCATGCTTCAACTTCGCACGGTAAAAGGAGAAACTGCAGAAACCAACCGACTAAGAAGCCGATAGTAATTGTGATGAGCCATTTGGCCAACGTCACTCCTGTGAATCTGCAAAGAAGTAATCAGAGATTCAGATTTTCATACAAATGCCGAAGGTTAAGAATTGAGGTGTACAACCCAACAAGTCTAGCTCGAGAGTTCAATAACTACTGTAACTGGTCTAGCAAGTAATGCTTTGCTTTCCATGTCTAGTTATTCTGAAGAAGTTGTTCTCTGACTCCAAATTACAATCGCTTTCACGATTGTAATTTGGAGTTTGGATTGTAATCCCAACGGTCAAAATCAATAAATTGGGGATTCAGTTGCTTGACGAAACAGGATTCTGAGGTGCCCAACTCAAAAGTCGATTCAAGCTCTAAATTCCAGTATAGGCCAATTGAATCAAAATTTAAGTGGGCAATCAGGTTGAGTAGGATTGAGGCCATTTTGGCCGAAGACGATAGCATCACAAGGAGGGTCGACAGGTGGGGAGAAAGAGCTACTTCAAACTGAAGGTGGAAAGTGATAAATCAAGTCACGCATGGAATAGAAGCATCTGCTCAGGATTTCCGGTTCGGCCCAAGACTGATGTCAGTGGAGAAAACACGCTCAGGATCTTGACGAAATCATGAAGGGCGTGAGATACGATTTGATTATTATATATATATATATATATATATATATATAAAATATATGTATATTTTAGTTACTACGAACGATCGTATAAATTATGCATCTGATTTCATCGGGGACACGTGAGCAGCTTCCTAAACTTGACGCCCAAAACGTTCCATAAAATGACAAAATCTCACTTGATTTCAAGAACGAAGAGCGCTTCAAGGTCGTTAGATTCTGCCGACCAGGGCGAACCGAGTCGTCGGTTCGATCGGGATGGTACGGATTCCGATGGAAAGTGTTAAGATGCTCGAATCTCTAACAATCTGCTATGCGCCGGTAGATTAAGTGGGTGATTGATCATCGATTCAGATCACTGTAACTGAGGTTAGGTGATGAATCTGCTGCAAGCTCAAACATAAGCTGGCATCGACGGGTTGGGAGAAAATGCTAGAACTTACAGGAATCAGGTGAGACATTGAAGAACTTACCCATACAGATGCCTTTGCTGTTGAATTTTCTTCTGCTGAGAAAAGACCAGGGAGTGAATTGGGTCGTAATCAAGACTCTCCACCCAGATTTCTTCTCTGCGGTGCCCATCGAGAACACTTTCTGCCGTTGTATCTTGCAGCAGAGGTTGCTCCAACTCTCCGTTCATGTCCATACCTGTCGAACACATATATGGACGTGTTACGCTTGCGTGCCAAATCCAAACTATCATCTTGTAAACAGTCATCGCCCGCAAATTATAATGTCAGACGTTGAAGCTCTGTCAGACAAAAAACTTTTCCGCTATCCAGCGGGATTTGTAGACGAAATGAGCCCTTATAAATTGCACAACTAGACAATTTGTAGACAATGTCAGTACACTCCAGCAATGGCAAGACAACTCAGTAAAATTCCACACAGTTCTCGGTGGTTCTAAGTAGGAATAACCCTGAGATGCTAATTTTTTCGAGAATCCGGTTGCGCGACCGAGCAAAAGATTGGGAGAATCCTTGCAGCTAATTTTGGACGCATCGGAAGTCACTTCCAATTTTAAAAACATGATCACAAATCCTCAATGTCAAGAAAAGGTCTCCTTTACGAGAGGGGATACGAGATGTGCTCCTCTCTCTCCCTAGAATAATTCACCAAGAAGGACCAAGGCAGACAGTGGGGGCCAACCGCTTAGCTGTGGTCTGGTCTGCTCTGCTCTGTTCTGCTCGATGGAAGCTGAAGAAAGATGAGGGTCTTGACTTTGTTCAGACAGCTGTCCAATCTAGTCTCCACTACGCATGCAATTCTCGACGATGAAGGATGAAGACGATGAGACAGTCTTCCAATCTACACACAGCCTACTTCAAAGAGATCCGCGGTCGGTCGATCTTTCTCGATTCGTGATCGAGAGAAAGACAGACCAGAATAGAATTGTGACACCACCCCCTGGTTCCTCTCGTGCACTACTATGACAAAGGTTCTGTCTGCAGCTCAGGCATACACATGTTTCCTGTGTTGACTACTCTCAGCTAGTTGCAACGCACTCGGCTCGATCGTCTCGATCGTCTCGTGTTTTTTGGGATGTTCTCTGAGCGGTCCCCTATATGTTGACCCGGCTCCTGTCCATGCTGCCCCTAAGCGGCACTCTCCACACTCTCACAACTGGACGAAGCGATCAGTCAGTGACATGCACTTCGTATCTAAGCTCCAGATTCTGACAGGGGGCTGCTTAGCAACCAGTCGAAGACAGGGCTAATTCCTGGATGCCTTCTGCCGCGATCCGCAGGCTCATATACGCAAGTCCACTGCCCCCCGCCGATCCAACACTCGCTCTCTGTCGCTCGAGCGCGGTCCAGCTCCTGCGCGGCTGGACCTCTGGACACGAACAGTGGTCCGAAACTTCCGATTTGGCTTTCCTCTTCGCGCTCGGTGCTGCTGCTGCTGCTGCAGACGTGAAGAATCGTCGGGCGGGCTCCTGCAGGCCTCTGTCCTTTGGGGGAGAGGGCCTGCCCGCACACGCAGAGCAACGCAATGCCCGCCACAGACAGACGAATCTCTCACCGGGCTCGGGTGCAAGTGGTGACATGCTGCCCCTGAGATCCAGAAGAGGCAGTGGGCCGAGTGCGTGTGGCGTTCGGTCATCGCGGGCATGGACATCCATCCTGCCAAGGTTCCTTCCTTCCGCTGGTGGACCTTCCGCGACTGCGACTCTCGTGAGATCGCATCGACCTACGTAAGAATTCAATCATCCTCGCTCGGCCGAGTCTGTTGCTGTTGCTGCGAACATTGCCTTGGCTGCGATCGGCCATGCATTGCCCTCCCCGTCACTTGCGCGAAGATCCGCGGCGAATCTCCACTGTGCACCCGACCACTCCAGCAGCAGCAGCAGCAGCAGGATCAGGATCCGACCTTTTCCCTTCGACCTGCTTACCCACAGCCCACAGCGCACAGCCCACAGCGCACAGCGCAGCTAGCTACGTCTTTACGGCCGCGCACAGCTACCAGATTATCATGAGCTCGTCATGTCGACTTCTATGGCCTCGGGGGCGCTCTGAGGCCATTCATTCCTCGGTGCACGAATGGACGAGGTCATGATCCGAGTCCACGTCTCACACATGGCGGCGACCGGACGGACGGATGCACTCTCTCTCACACACACACACTCTCTCTCTCATGAAATCTACTGAATCAGAGGGCGTCAGGAGTGGAGGCACGGGATCTGACCTCCAGGACTCGGAGGCAAGACGAGGGCCGTGGGACGAGCCATATTTCTCCAGGATTGATTGTCGGCGCAGATTTGAAGATGGTGGGTGGCGCGCCGAGAGTCGATTGTCGGCGACACCGAGTGAGTTCGAGTGGCGATGGTCGAGGGTTCAAGGAGATAATTGCACCGCCGATGACGATGCTCGAAAGCTTGGAGAAGAAGGAGGCGTTGCTGTAATGTGGACTCGAGAATCGGGATGAGAGTTTGGATCGCTGGATGACGATGGCGACGATGACGGTGCAGCTGCAGCCTCTGAAGGGAAGAAGCCGAGTCCGAGAATTGCACATATACTGCCCTCCGCCTCCGCCTCGCCTAAAAAGAGCAAGACCATACTGCAGCGGCTGCGGCTCGACGAGGAATTATCCTTGTTCGGATTCCGTCTCCTCCGCCCGTCTACATCTCGCAGTCAGATTCCTAGCCTCAGGCGTGTGACCAGCTGAAATTGTCCTGAATGACGCTTCCAAGATCCAATGCGACGCACCGCTGCTCTCCAGACAGTGTGAAATTCCCAAGTTCATTCCTTCAGCCTGATTCATGTCTCTAGATTTATCCTCTTCGACAGTGAGTGGCATGCAGACGCAAGCACAGCAATCTGAGCTGAGCTGAGCTGAGCTGATCTAGTTTCGCAAGCTGGAATCCTTAATTTCTCCTTCCTTCTTTCCTTCCTTGCTCCAGTCCTACCTTCGTCGCAGCCACTGCACCACGCTCAGTAAGCTACTTTTCCAATCCCGTGCGCAGGTGGGGCGAGGGGGTAATTATCGAGGTCGATCAGAGTGAGGTCATGCTGGCTTATCCACGTGAAATCCTCGTCCGGTAAATTTGGCTCAGATTTCTGAGCTTCGTCGACAGGCAGTAAGAAATTCTCAGACGTAGTGTAGCGTGGTTGTGGGTCTTGCGGGAGCTCGAAGACACTAGCGGTGCTTTTGCTGTCCGCAGTCACCTATCCTAAACGTCGACCTAGGCCATGGCTCTCTGTTGTTTCAGTTATATTCCTTCTTCTTGTTCTTCGCCGGGCGGGTTGGCTTGGCTTGGCTTGGCTTGGCTTGCTTGGTGCTGCTGCTGCTGCTGCTGCTGGCACTGGGCTTATGATCAAGGCAGGGCCGTAGACCGAGTGCGTCACTCGCAGACGAGAGTTCATGCGAACCCTTTTGCTCTTTCTTGTCCCAGCTCCAAATTTAAGAGCGCCCTCCTGGCGAGGAGGAGGAGGAAGAATCGGATGTGGCTCGGTAACATGACAACTTGAGGCGGTCCTTTATCGCGGGGGCATGAATTCCCCACGACAAATTGCCTCGGAATTCGGCATAATCGCGAGCTTTCATTTAACCGCGAGTAACCTGCCTCATCATGCAGAGTGGGCCCGCCCGGGGGGAAATGGCAAAAGCTCAAAATGCTCGGGAGGATGAATCCGGACTGCTGCTCTGATTGCTGGCCGAGGATGGCCAGCAATCAGAGAGAAATGAGCAACGTCAGCTGCTGCTTGCTTGCTTGCTTGCTTGCTTGATTACTAATGACCGACCGAGCCAAAACACGGAATCTGGGGGACACACGAGGCACGCCGATCATTCCTCAACAGACGCTTCCACTGCTGAGCACCCTACTCTTGCTCTTGCGTCGGCCAGAGGATCGTGCCCGAACCGTGGCTCAATGTTGCGGACGATTGGAGGAAAAAGCTGGTGCCTGGCGAAGGAGAAGAGTCCGCAGCCGCGCGACCGACCAGACCCGACCCCAGCGTCTTTTGAGCTTGGCAAGAGTCGACACCCCTCCGGCCCCGGCTCTACAACTCTGCGTCGCGAGTGCCATCACAGGAACGAGGCAGAGGGAGAGACTGTCTGAGTCTTCCAGCTGTACGAGCTTTGCATTCAGAGGCCGCTTCTGTTCAGATACATTCTTTCACCTCGTCCGCATGCATCATGACTCCGGATATCCGTCACTCGTCATGATTCATGAGTGACGGATATCCGAATGACCGTCTTGAGCAGCACATTTGGCTTCTTCGATCGAGCACTGAAGGCATCTTTCTGCCTTTCTGAAGCAGTGTCACAGTTCGGTGGCGATCTCAACTCTTCTCAATTTCCTTGCGACACAATCGTTCGTGTGTTTTTCCGTTTACGCAACTCAACCTCATTCTCCTTTCGGATTTTGGCATTTTGGCATTTTGGCATACGCACCTCTCCACCATGCTTTCTGCTCGTAGCCGATATGTGCACCGGCTTTTGACATCTTGTCTCGAACCAATGCCGATTGCACCTTCTGAGCACAAATCGACCTTCTGCAAAGGATGACTACGCAATGGAACCTTAACATCTGCGCACCATGAAGGCCTGTACGCACAAGGCAGCAAGCAACGCATTATGTTCATACGTAGTACTCAACTATGCCAATAATATCAAAGCAACTGTCGAAGTTTGCAACCTTCCCCAATCAAATCTATAGATCAATGATCATATTCTTTATGTGTAATCTCAAAGATCTTCACAGGTGATTTTTAGGAGTCGATGTGTGTAATGCACCCGTAGTCCAGGAGCACTTCAGATTGATATAGATTAGTTTTTAAGTGAATGAATAAAACACTAACTTCGAATGAAAGATATGAGCAAAAATTATGTTAACATAGAGGATTGTCTTCATATAATCGAAGCTCATTTCAATCTTCATATGAAAAACTTAACTAAGATACATTTATAATCTAATCATTATCAATCGATGGAAATAAATACAATGATACGATTGAAAAAATACCAGATTAGTTTTAAATTTACTTATCAAAGTCCAACAGTTCACGATTACCAAACTGAGAGTAGTCGACACATCATCAGCATATATAACTCATGAATGATGATCTCTTTTGAGACAAAAAGAAATAGACAATCCAACATATATGTTTGAATATAAGATAAACGAATTTTTTTGGTATCACGCCTTCACACGTTCTAAATTGTTTCTAAGCTAGAAGTTATTAACCATGATCCAATCGTTTTTTATAATCCTCATTACTCAGATTTAATTAAAAATCTTATGTTCTTTGCAAACAGATAAAGTTAATTAAAAAAATCACAAAGAATAAAAATATTTTTAAAAATATTTTGTACCTGAAAATTGAAAGCAGTTATAATTTTTGGGTATCTTCTACAATATGAAAAATTGACTTTTTTCTATCTGTTAATATCACGTTTACTTGTGTAGAAAAGTATCAATAAATGTGATACACAAAAAAATTTGTAATTTCACATGATTTTGTTGGATGATTTTCACATGATATATTTATTGCTTAAATAACATGAATCTGGTTCGAAGATTGAATTTCTTTCGAAACCAGATCAATTGGATTAACTTATACGTAAAACATTTTTCTCTCTCTTTTAATTATATGTTCATTTACTTTCTTATGAATCTTGTCTACATGCCTGAACTAGAGCCAACACGCTGATGCTCGAACACCTACAAATCTCTGTATTTCAACACCAAACCTTCTAGGAACTAAGGTTAAAACAGATGTGCCCTACATTACCAAAATATTCATGCACCTCATGAAAGTTCTGCATTCCTCATGCCCATCTGTTGACATGCCCATGAACCAAGTGTCAATGAACACATATTTCTCACTAAAGTACAAAGCATGCCAAAACGTAGTTCAGAAAACTCAACGACACTTTAAATACCAATACCAATTTGGCAAGATGATCAAGAGCCTGGACAAATGCGCTGGGAGAATCTTGCTCATATTACATATATCGTTTTGGACCCGGAAGAGTTGTAGTAAATGTCATGCGGCGGAGAGACTACAACATAAAACCATGGCTACTGCTACACGGACCTCAGATTCCGGATAAAATATGTGCTGTATATGCGATCCATAATCCAGCAAATATATCCATTTATGCAGCTAAGATCAATGAGCTCCTCCGAAAGCACGAAAAGCACCACAGTTGGAAGGCAGAATTTATCAGATTAGCAGGAGGAAATTCCAGGGCTGTAAAACTATTCCTATATTTTACTAGCATTAGCTTTGGATATTAGAAATATGGTAAATGCACCTCATGGAAAACATAACGTTTCATGAGGCAAAATCTTCATCTTAGCGTCCAAAAACCTTCTTTTATCAACTGTTGTACCTTTAAGCTCGGGGAACCAAGTACCACTGCAATAAAAATGGGAAGACCAGATCAAGCAGGACCTCTAACCTGAAGATGCGGATATGCTTGAGGAAGTTCTAGACACTGGTAGGAATATACAGTTTTACATATGACATGAAAAGAGAGACGAAATGCGATTGGCGGCCTTCGTGACAATTATCTGCTTTGTATGGAGTCTGGACCCCGCAATGATTGAAGGCGCACATCCAAGGCTTAGCCGTGGTATGAAAAGTACGAAACAGGTCATATAGATCGGGAATTGCACATGTTGGATATGCATTCACAGATCTGTAGAAATATCCTCTTAAAAGGGAATGAATCATATATGATTATTTGCGTTCTCCGGTTCCAAGGACCTAGACTCAATCAATTGAATTGCTCAAGTAGACACTTATCCTCATCCCTGTCAGCGATCATTTCCTTTCCAGTAATTTCAAGTCGTGACCCTGAATCCAATACCCATTTTTTACTGCCAGAAACGCAAGAGTTTAGGAATCAGATTTATGATTTCCTGCTCGTGAGGTCATGAGAAAAGGAGTTAAATATATAATTCCGCGTGTTTCTCACGAGAAACATGAATATGGGCAACAGTGCCTGTTTTCGTGTGATGTTAATCAAAATAGCAGTGAAAAAACAGTAGTACATGAAGGCCAGCAGCCAATGGTCTACGAGTAGGCAACGAGTATCGACAGAGATATGGAGCCGACACGTGGTGGACAAACAAGGCCAGGCGTACAAGGGGGCAATCTTGACTCCTGGACGAGCTGCGTTTTCTCGCCGCATCGCAGCGCCTCCTTCGGAGCCAGTCCAAAAGGGACCGATAAAGTAGGTCACGGACCTCGCAGGCGACAGCCTCTGACTCAGCCCTCATGTGCCGCACTGCTAGTCTGCAAAAGAGCGAGGAGCCATAGGCCTCAGGCCTCCAAAGCCTTCCTTCTCTCCTTCTCTTCTTCTCTTAATCTATTCGAGGCCGATCTCCATCAATCTCGCTTTCTCTTCGCCTGTCCCTTCCTTGCCCAGCTCGCAATCTCACCACTCTCGCATTCGCGCTCTCTCTCTCTCTCTCTCTCTCCCTCTCTGACACAAAGCGGCTCGCGTCTCGCGACTCCTGCTACCTTCAAAGGGTGCGGGGCGAGAAGGCCTGACTTCCCGACCACAGATTGAGCTTGACTTGTGCCCTGAACCCCCAGTGTCAGGTTACCCTCCAACTTGACTTAAGACATAGATCTCTTGGCCCACGTACCTCCGCGCTCTGGTCTCTGGTCCCTCCTCCGTGCCGCGAGCTCAGATTATACTCTTTTATTCACGAGGTTCTCGCGTTTTTTAAGCAGTGATCAGACCTCGGATCTGAAAATACTGAAATGTCGACTCATCTCTGCGTTGTGAAATTATAATTGAACTAGAGTGGAAGCTGTACCTTTTGCCGGCCGCTTCTGTTCTCAAGCGTGTATCGAAATAGGAACGAAGAGCTGGATTTGACTTTGGAGTCGAAGGATTGAGAGAGACTGAGAGACAAAAGCAAGACGGAGTTGCGGATGTGTCAACGATGTGGCGAAAGTGCTTGTGGCTCTCCGAAATCCGGGGGGCCAGCAGATCGACGTATGCTCGCAAATAGCAAGCGGAGACATGTTGCGGTGCAGGCTTGATCTCTCGGAGGGACAAGCATGGCTGCGGCTGCGGCAGCCGCAAGTACCTCCAACACAAGTCTTAAAATACAAGTACGGACTTGCGGAAAGGTACGCGGGACGGCCCGACGGGTCGCGGCGTAGGACCGCAGCGCCTCCGACGAGTACCCTCCAGCCATGACGATGTGAGCGGCGCGCCCCGTACACGTGCGATCCTCCTGCGCAGCCGCGCGCGCCGCCGATGGGGCGCATCGACGCCGGGAGATCGGAATCCGAGGGTCGGATGCTCGCGACGGTGGAGTGACCGGAATGATCGGTGGACCTTCGGGCAGGCCGTGGTACGATCTGCAGTGGCACGAGGACCCAGACGAGGCGAGGCGCGTCGTTCGCATTCGCTTCTGCGCGCAGCCGCGAGCGAGGCTGCGAAAGGTCGAGGTCGAGGTCGAGGTCGGCTCGCCATGCCCGCAAGGCAAGGCAAGGCAAGGCAAGGCCTGTGGCCTGCGAAGTCGCGAGAGATAGATGGAGAGATAGCACAAACCTGCGTCGAAAGAATATCGCCAGGATGAAGGGGCGAGTAAGCAGCACGCCGAGTAGATCTGATGCACATGTACCGACGGATAGACGGATGAGGCAAGTGACTGTGCTCGATGTATCAGATGTACAAACAAAGCACTGTAAGTTTGTTTTCTGTGCGCGCGTGGATCATGGAGAGCGAGTTAGATCCAGAGCAGCCCCGCCCCGGGTCCCCAGCCATGGCAGAGAAAGAGTCCCTCGCACCCCAAACGGAGCTGGACGACTCCCTTTGCCTTGCCATTGAAGGTTGTTCAGCCACCGACGACATTCACTGGAAGAGTGTTGTGAGGAGCATGTCAAATTTGGCACCAGCTGCTGCCCAGACCGCCACCTCTATTTGGGGGCTCTTCTGATGCCCACGAGCAAACTCCTTGTGACAGAGCTCATATTTCTGGACGGCAAAGTATGGATCCAAAAGTAGAGCGTGGACGGCACATCAAAATAATACATCGAGTGATACCAGGATGAAGCCAAAAGGCCCCAATAGCCTCGTATCGAGAAGCTGCCTTCGATCGCCTAGTACATCCAATTGTCACACTCAAACATTCTACAAACAACACACCATCTACGACATCGTCATCTCGCGTGATTTTCGTTGCCTAACAGACATCAAAGAATTTAAGATGTAAAGCAATAGAAACACAATTCATTATTTATACTTTACAATCAATGGACTTGAAAACTAGTCACAAAATGCCTTATAATAGCCTCTAGACGGCGTTCACTCCAACGACTGGATTGAAATACGTCAAACAATCTACAAAGAATTCTTTGTAATCTTATGGTCTTGAAGTGACAAATGTTGATCTTAATGTGACTTTTTTCCTCACAGGGTTACCCCAATCATTATCATTCACATGTGGACGTTAACCCTTGCGAGTAGTGTTGGAAGCACAACTCATTCGCATTTTCCATACGGGGCATGCCGGTATGTACGTACAAATTTATACGTATATTCCAGAGTTATAGACGGTGGGATGAGTCAAAAAATAAATGGAAAATTATGCTTGTTGTTGGGGCTGTATGGTACTGAAATTGAAGGATTTGCCAAGTATATGCAATGCTGTTTTTGTGTCCGTACATGGGATTTAGACAGGTCCTCCTTGATTGTGTCTCCTTCTAAGAGTGCTATATTTTCATAAAAGTATATTTTCTGATACATCAAATATACGTATTGTAATATTTGCATACCTGGGGGCATGGGGCATGCCTTTTGACGTTGAAAGGGGGCATGGGCA